CAGAGCCGCCCGACATTCGATCAGGCCGAGAAAATCTGGATTCGGTGGAGCTCCCTCGTCCCGCCAATTATAACCGAAGCGGCCTATGGTCATGAGGCCGACCAACTCTAAATTCGGACACTTCTCGATCACGTGCGTTCCGAAGCCGTTCACCGTTCCTGGATCAGCTCCAGACTTCTCTGAAACAGAAACAAATGTTAAGAATTTGTTATTTTGTTTCTATAGCAATATATACGAATTTTGTTTTTATTTGTTCCGTTCATTTGTTTCTTAAAATAAAGGAAATATAATAAACAATATTTTGTTTTATTCATTTGTTTTGTTTATCTTTTTTCTTGAAACAAAATATATGTACAAATTTGTTTTGTTAATTTAAAACAAAATTCGTTTTGTGCGATTTGTTTCTAAACATAAAATTAACAAAAAAAACAAACTTTGTTTTGTTAAATTGTTTCTACAACATCAAATATGAAAAACAAAAACAGCTTATCAAAATTTGTTTTATTAAGTTGTTTTGTTTCATTTATCAATTAAAACAAAAAGAATATTAAACAAGAATTAGATTGTTTTTATTTGTTTTGTTCGTTTTTGTTTCTTGAAACAAAATATTTGTACACATTTTGTGTTGTTAATTTAAAACAAAATTCGTTTTGTGCATTTGTTTCTGAAACATAAAATAATAAAAACAAAAAATAAACAAACTTTGTTTTGTTAAATTGTTTCTACAACATCAGATATATAAAAACAAAAACGAGCATAAACAAAATGATAAGCTGCGATCATCTGGGAATCGATCACGCCGCAATGGAACTATCGATGGGAATGTCCGACGATTTCGAGCACGCTGTAATCAATACTAACACTTAATCACTAAATTATTTATGATTAATTTTTTATGATTTTTAGATCGATTTGGGAAGCAGCAATGTTCGTGTGGGAAGCTCGATCTTCGGCCACAGGAACTACAACGACAAATGAATTATATGTAATAAACGTTGTACATAACTGTTGAATTCGTTTGTTTCCAATTCCTTGATTATTTTGGGTGATGATTGGAGGAAAGAAAAGATTGATTTTGTAATAAAATTAATGATTTATTTGAAAATAGAGGCGCCGCGTGCTGTTGTTGTTGCGGCGTGACGCTGTATAACATTATATATATGAAGTATGATCAACTCTTGCTTCGTGAAATGTGCTTTTGTTTAGCGCATACTTGTAATCACCTAGGAGATGATGTTGTTGTTATAACAAGATTTCAGTTGTTTGTACGATGAGTGAGTTTGCTGTTGGCAAACCGGATGAAGAATGATAAAATACAATAAATATTGTTTAAATTATAATTTTTTTTTTTGGTTTTTTTCCTTTAATATATAGTTTACATTGTTGTAAAATGTGCGAGTAATAAATGGATTTGTTGTTGTTGTTGTTTAAGCGGCTTCGCCACCTTCTGCGTCCTCTTCGGTGCCGGTGAGCATGGTGATGAGGGCGGCGGTGTCGATTTTGCCGTTGTCGTCGATTTCCATCGCGTCGAACGCATCGTCGACCTCCTTCGCGTTGAACTTGTCTCCCCAGGTCATGAGGGCGTGCCTGAACACTTCGGAGTCGATGGTGCCTTCGGTGTCGAAGGATTTGAATGCGGCGATGACGACATCATCTTCGTCGGAGCCGCCGGAGTCCTGCATGCGGATGGCGAAGAGTGACAGCCATTGGGTGAAGTTGATCGGTCCCGGCGCCTCGTTGATCATCTCGTCCAGTTCCTTCTCGTTGGACAGTTTGCCGACGGCGTCCATGGTGGCCCTGAGGTCGCTCTTGCTGATGATACCGTCCTTGTCGTGGTCCATCAGCTGGAAGGCTTCCTTGAACTCGGCGACCTGAGTCTGGGAGAACATGGAGAAGACATTCGAACCGGAGCGCTTGGCCTTCTTCGAGGAGCTCTTGGAGGAGCCCTTGCTGGAGGTTCTGGTTTCCGCGGCGGGCGCAGCGTCAGCTGGCGCTTCTTCCTTCTTCTTCTTCTTGACCTTCTTTTCCTTATCCGCCTGTCAAAGTTAAACAATCGAAGAAGATTAACAAATGATATTGCTATAGCAACAGCAGCAGCCAGCTACGATTCACCGAAGCTGGTTGCCATTGCCACCGCACCAAATATAGAGTGCAGCTCGAAATAGCCCAGATCTAATTATATCATCATCCCGATATCAAAAAACCGAATATTTGTTCGAATTGTGATGCAATTATCCTTTAGTTTATAATAATCCTTCCTTTATGCAATAATATGTGTTTTTTTTGTAATCACGGCACGAATAATTTAGATAAATTTAACAAATTGAATATGATAATTATTAATTAAGATGAGATATCACTGCTGCACTTGTACTAAATATTGTTGGTTGTTGGTTCTCTCTCACTGTACTTACCATTTTGTCTCTAAGATGTAATGCTCTTCACCAAGTTACACCCTGGACTGACTGACGATGTTGCAAACCTCTGCTTAAATATGAAAATCTGCCGCCACCTCTCCGCAACTGAAAACCATTTAACATTTACCCGGGCGCCTTATATAGGAGTACGCTTAGAATAGATTTGGAACGGGCGGACGGGCGAAACGAACAGAATGAAATACTATATAGTGTATGAGTATGTTGAGCAAACATCAAGGAACATCTCGCTCGTGCCACCGATATTAGGAATTTACCAAATTACATAAGCAATCATACTCATATTTATTCGGTACATTATAATAACTTTAATTGGTGCATGATTTGTGGCGGTCATTTGACAAATGTCTAAATTTAATTGAGATGACTCAAACTAACATTCTGTAACATGAAATTCAAGAAAAACTGAAAAAACGTCGTTTCTATGTTACGTAACGAACATTACGTAACTTTTGTTACATAAAAGTTGCGCAACGCTTGCGTACATCTGATTATGCAATAAAATCATAAAAAAGTTTATTACTTTTCGAGTTATTATCGAAAAACTGAATTACATCCGTTTTTTGACAAATTCTATTCACTTTTTTTCCAATTTCAAAAGCTCATAGCAAGCGACTCCGCAGTAATACGAAGATACCAGTGGGCTTGTTGGAAAGGTGAGTCTTTTAGCTTTCATATGAGTGGTCGATGATGTAATTGTCTTAAAGGGTTGTCGAGAAATTTACGAAAAACTGAAAAAAAAACGACGTTTCTCTGTTACGTAACGAACATTACGTAACTTTTGTTGCATAAAAAGTTGCGCAATGCTTGCGTGCATGTTATTGTGCAATAAAATCATAAAAAAGTTTATTACTTTTCGAGTTAATATCGAAAAACTGAATTACATCCGTTTTTTGACAAATTCTATTCACTTTTTTTCCATTTTCTAAAGCTCATAGCAGGCGACTGGGCGACAGTACGAAGATGCCAGTTGGCTCGTTGGAAAGGTGAGACATTCAGCTTTCATAAGAGTGGTCGATGATGTAATTGTCTTAAAGGGTTGTCCAGAAATTCACGAAAAACTGAAAAAAAATCGAAAAAAACGTCGTTTCTTTGTTACGTAACGAACATTACGTAACTTTCTATACATAAAAAGTTGCGCAACTCTTGCGTACATCTGATTATGCAATAAAATCATAAAAAAGTTTATTACTTTTCGAGTTATTATCGAAAAACTGAATTACATCCGTTTTTTGACAAATTCTATTCACATTTTTTCCATTTTCTAAAGCTTTTAGCAGGCGACTCAGCAGCAGTAAGAAGATACCAGTGGACTCGTTGGAAAGGTGAGTCTTTTAGCTTTCATAAGAGTGGTCGATGATGTAATTATCTTAAGGGGTTGTCGAGAAATTCACGTAAAACTGAATTACATCCATTTTTTGACAAATTCTATTCACATTTTTTCCAATTTCTAAAGCTGATAGCAGGCGACTCAGCAGCAGTACGAAGATACCAGTAGGCTCGTTGGAAAGGTGAGTCTTTTAGCTTTCATACGAGTGGTCGATGATGTAATTATCTTACGGGGTTGTCGAGAAATTCACGAAAAACTGAATTACATCCATTTTTTGACAAATTCTATTCACTTTTTTTCCAATTTCTAAAGCTCATAGCAGGCGACTCAGCAGCAGTACGAAGATACAAGTAGGCTCGTTGGAAAGGTGAGTCTTTTAGCTTTCATATGAGTGGTCGATGATGTAATTATCTTGAGGGGTTGTGAAGAAATTCACGAAAAAATGAATTACATCCATTTTTTGACAAATTCTATTCACTTT